GGCGTAGGTAAATAAACATTCTATTTAGGTATTGCGATGACACGATAGAAGGGTATAACAAAGATAAAGTAATTACATTTGCGAGAGCTTATACTGAGCTAAAATAAGATGGCTTTTCCGGAAAATCAATAGCCTATATTTGGACTATACGAAAATCAGTGCTTGCTAATTATCACATATATAAACTTGTAAATTCCCTTAAACCTAATCAAAGATTATGGCCTAACTAGTTGTAAAAGTTTTGCAAACTAGTTACAGCATCAACTTCATCTATTAATTAACTTTGATCAAGGGTTTGCAGAATGTTTATTAATTTAATGGCATGCTGAAACTGATAAATAAGTTTAATCCCTCGACAAAGCTTAGCCAACTGACAGACCGGAAATTGAACTTATACCTCGGTGGCTATAAAAAAAAAAGTAGAAAAGGAGTATGAAATCTCGTAATCATATTCAGCCGTGCCCTTTGACATTCCAAAGGCCCTGCGGTTTTGGCCAACTAACCGAACCAAAAGCCAAGGCCAAGTTATTACCAACTTGGCGTGTCGATTTAGTCGGGACTCTCGAGAGGCGAGAAAACTTTTTGGCATTAATGCGAAGTATTTGCTGTTCAGGTTCACGGCTAGTTAGCTATTGGCAGGCCAAGAAAATGTCGAGAATGAATACTTAAAAGTTGGCAAACTTCCAATACCCTTTGAAGTTCATAATCGCAATATGTTGCCTACTTTCAGGGCAATTGCCAATGGTCCTCAAGAAAGAAAGATAGAAGAATCCCCGTGTCTGCCAAAGCACTTTAATTGCGAAATTTCGCTATAAAAATGTGCCTGATAATCGCAGCCGCATTTAAGTATCAACTTAATGACAAAACGTTTACATGCATAATTATCCAATTTTTTGCATTTTTAATTTCCTGCCTTAGATGCAAAGTGCCTGGGCCCCCAATGGAGGATAGAAAGGAGGAGGGTCCCCCAGTCCAGAGCCAAGTTAATGGCCCAGAAGTTGCAACTAGCTGGCAACCATGACTTGGACTTGCTCTTGGACTTGTTCCCGTGTTCTTGACTTCTCTTTGTTGGCTAGCTGCCTGCCTGCCTACTGCTGTTGTTAATCATCTGCGTGGCTGCATAAAAATAGAAAGGAAATTCCATGAAATTAAAGTTTTATGCAGCCGCAGCAGCACCAGATCAAGTTGAAGTTGAAGTTGAGGTCTCTCTTCGGAGCTGGGGTCTTTGGGATGGAGCTTGGAACTTGGAGCTTGGAGAGCTGACTGGGGTCTTAGCCAAACGTTTAGCGAAAGCCGCGTCTCGAAGAATGCAGTCGGCTCGGCATAATCGAAAGGCATGTGAGAAAAGTTGGACTCGGCTGGCAGCCAGCCACCAAACCGGTTCAGCTCGACTTCATCCCAAAGTTGGCTTAACTCAGGTCCAACTGCACCCAGGTAACATTATGTTCTTACTTTTTGCCTTGGCTTGTTACCAGTTTTTTTTGTTGTGCTGGCTTTTCTTGGAATGTTTCTGAATGGTTTTTGCTGGAGCTTTTGCTCGAAGTTTTTATGAACTGCTGAGATTTATAATCTGCTCAGGCTGAGGCGGCTGAGGTAGCAAAAATGCAGCATAAATCAGGAAGCCCTTTTCGTAGTCGAAACCTCAAGATCTCGAAGAACATTCCATGTAAATCAACTCCCTCTGCATAATTATGCAAAGCAAAAGTATCTCATAGTTTGCGGCTGAAAAAAAATCTCTTCTGGCGAAAGCCGGGGCCAAGTTGGCATTTAATTACATTGTAATTATAATATATTTTCACCCACTCTCAGTTGGTTCCGTTCTCACCCGCCCCCAAAACCAATTCATTACTCATTTCAATGGGAAATTTTCCCCATTTTCCATTTTCCACTTTTCTTTTTTTTTGTTTGTTATCAAAGTAATTTATGCAGTTGACAGTCAAATAATTTGGCACACAGCATACATTAAAATAAATTACCTTTACAAAAGAGCTGGGGAAAACGTTTGTGGTAGGCATTCAACTTCGGAAAGTCATTGGATTTTCAAAAGTATTTTAAACTTTGGGACAATATTCCAAATATTCCCAAAAAAAATCAAAATGAGCAATTATTTAACACTATCAGTTTTAAATTTGTATTCACTTTTAGTCATGCCAAATGATTCATCGTCACAGACGTGAGAGACTGGAGACGAGTAGAATCCAGTCAATCGTAACTTTTGTATACAATATACTATATGCGTTCATGTGATGTAGCCAAAAGCAGCTAATTGCAAATTGTATCTATTTATTTCCTTTGTTAACCCTCTCAAGTGCAAAATGCAAAGATTTATTGACTTTTTAGCTGGGTAAATTATTCTAAATTGCTGGTAACTCCATGATTATTATCTGTAAATGCTGTGAGAGGTTTTTTCGTACATGTTTGCTCATTACAAAAAAAAAAACCAAAAAACTTTTATGGAATTGGAGTTATCTATGTCAGTTTGAACAGCTGTAAACCATATTCTGTACAATGGTGTTAAACTAATGCATATTGAGGACGTCAGAAACTGAAAGTTTTACAAAAAGTGTATTTAATGTTTTTACAAATGTCAAAGCAGCAACAACAACACAGCCATGGAAGAACTATATGCAAATCAGATTTTGCACAACAACAAAAAACTCGTTTTGACTTGGCCCAAGCTTCAAAGCTTAAGTCAAGCTCAACTTGGGCTGTTGCTACTGGTTTTTGTGTTTAAACATTTACCATTTATATATCGGGATCGGATTGTATTGAGTGGTTTTCGGGTATATCCCAAAGCGGAGATTTGTTGTCAGTCTGTTTTTGTTTTGGTCACATTTGTATGTATAATTAATAAATAAATCCGGTTCGGGCCTTATATAATTTTCTTGCTCATTCAGTGGATTTTTGCCAACGTTTCGGTTTTAACGATTTCTTGATTCCAAGAACACCGCACAAGAACAGCACACAGCACACGGAATTTGGGGAAAATCGCGAAAAAACCGAAAAAAGTGACAGCGGTATACCGATAAAAATGATCCCCCAAAAAGACCCCGGTAAATGGTGGATGGACGTATGGATGGTGTTTGGGATCGGTTCGGCCCAAAGAACTAATTAAGTTAACGTTACTACTATTGTAACCCCCCCGGTATTGGAAAAGGTTTCTCTGTCTTCACGCGGACATTTGGACAACCGACGACGACAGTGGCCAAAATCGAATGGAAGCGGAGGGAAAACGGAACGCGTTTGTCCGGCAAGCGGTAAGCGGTTAGCTCGATTCGACGACTCAAATTGCTCTACTGTACTGGGTTGACTGGCGGCTCACCCGCTCAGCGATGTTCGAGTGAGCAGAGTGAGCGTGCAAGAGCGGAAGAGAGCGACAGCTGTTGCAGGGGTGCTTGGCTGTGTGTGTGTGCACTGAGAAAAAATCTTCACAAATGTTAATGTTGAATTGGTTGCCCTATAAAAAGATACGATATGATCACCGATTCAAAGCTCCTCTTTGGACCTACAGTGATCCTCGTATAATTCAAATTCCAATTATGATTGTGTTAATCAGTGCATGAGGTCTTAAAATTCTTTCTTGGTTTTAACTACCTAAAAGTAAAATCAGTCTAACCTATCCACAATAAAGTACCCTGATCCTAGCGACCCATGTATCAGGATCAAACATGGATCATATAAGTCACAGTGAACCGACATTTTCGATTTAAACCACACAATTGGAAAAAAAAATCAAAACTACAAAATTCTTTTCATTTTTGGGGTCATGGGTACATTCTCTAAAGATTTGGGAATTTTCATTTGATGTTTTTAGGTAGTATTCTGAAAGTAACAAAATTTAATTGAATAATAGCAAAATTATATTATCTGAATCAGGGAAGGGAGGTCATTTGGGGTATACATTTCGATACTAATGAGAAAAGTAAAAGAAAATGTGGTACTCGAAAAGTATGCAACAAAAAATTGTTTTAAAAGCCCCCACAACGAAGTCCTGTGTCCGCCACAATCTGTCATATATTTAAAAAGTTTACTTGCGAGGGCATTCCAAAAAAATCCTATTTAAAACTTTTGAAAAAGTATCTTTCATATTTCAAGAGAGTATTATGTATATCAACTAAACATTCTAGCTTAAATTTATTCTGTTCGCAGTCCTGAAATAATCTGTTTTAAAATAATTAATAATCTAAAATCTCTTGGATTTTTTCGCAGTGTAAGAGTACGTTTGTGGATTTGCTCAGTTCCATTGTGTTTATTTATTACCAACAACGACGTCGACCGTTCTGCTTCTTCCATCTCACCTCCGCTCTGCTGTATTTGTATTTGTTGTGATAATGATAAAACGTAGCTTGTAGGTTTTCTAGAGTGGGAGCGAGACAGTCAGAGTGGAAAGAGCGAGAGAGGGTTAAAATGTATCTAGGCTAGGTACAATCTCAGATGCGCTGCATTTTGAAGATCGCGATTTTCTGGGCACGGCTTAAAAGATATGCGGTCAGGCTTAGTAAAGGAAAGTTCTAGGAAAACACGAGCCTACTTCCATTCTTTAGGTCTGGGAATTTCCCGAAAAGGCAAGCGTTAGAGATTACTGAGCTAGGCGGCTTAGAATGGATTTTTAATTATGTTCTAATAGCTTAACCAAACGGATTTAACCCAAGAAGATGCCCAGATGTACCGCCTTTAAAGTAATGCTACAAAAATCTTGGAAAACATTATTCAATGACATAAATTGTGGAGTTTCCCAAAAATGTTGAGTAAAAAATATTTAATTTACTTTAAAATTTGCGAAAAAAAATTGTATTCAAAAATAGGTCCGAAATTTTTTTTAGTTTTGTAATATTTTTACAAGAAAAATTATTGTTATAATTCAAAACAAGTACAAATATTTAAGCCGTTAATATGCTTGATTTTCTATAACAAAGTTTCAGATCAAACATATGGATTTAAAAACATATTTTTTGCAAAATCTAAACTTCAGATACCCCAATCGAGCGATAGAAGGGCACTCAAAACCAGTTGTTGGTTTCGTTGGTTCTGCAGCTGCCAGTTTTTTCACATGGAGAATGGAGAGCGAGTGGTCGTTCAGAAGTGATTATGGCGCTCAAGAGAGTCATTAAAGAGAGTTACCACCAAATAACCGAAGTTGAACTCAACGCAAATGATGGCCAAGTGGTTATGAAATGCCAACGGACAAAAGAAAATAAATGAAAAGAATATAAAAAACTGATTAACCGAACAGTAATCAAGGCTCGGTAATCAATGTATTGAACTTATCGATTTGAATTAGTGGCCCAACCTAAATTCCGTGACAACAATGGCAAAATGATCGATCGAAATGCGAGAGCGGAAAGTGGAGGCTCGAAGAGCAAGAGGCAAGGTCGTTGTTTGCTCACTAAGAGAAAAATTCCGGCCTAAGAGAAGATTAGATAAATCCAAACGACAGATAAATTTCCATGTGTGTGTGCGTGAGAGAGAAGTAAATAGAAAATAAGACAGTTTTCAGTACTGAAACGTGCGAAAAATGGCAATGCAGCAGCGGCTTTAATCCAGGTAGCACATAAAATCAGGTAGTAAAAAAATGCTATCAAGACTATTGGGAGCAAACCATTGCTACCCACACATGCCACCCAATCACGCCAACATTATCGCTTAAATGCAGAAAAAAAACAAATTGGTGCAATCGGTTCAAGAAACAGAAATACACTGGGGAAAAAGGCTTAAACATGGTATGCATATAGAAATATTGTCATTATTTTACCTGAAAATGCCTGTACAAAATCACCAAACAAAAACCTAATGAACCATTTCTTTTATGGAGATTTTTATTTTAAAGGCTTTTTGATTAAAGTAAGTACTAGGGTTAGGACAGAGAAATATTTTATAAAAAGGAGTATGATTTTTTTTTAAATATTTAAAGTATTTAGTCAAAACATATATATTTTATTTAATATAATATAAATATGTACATTTTCCTTCGTGTATAATGTGTTTAAGCCATTACAGCAAATGCTAGACACTTTTAGATAAACCATAATAAAAACAGCTAGCACTGAATGGTGTATACCCCGGATCCCAGACACGCCCACCCACCTTCCTCCGCCCACCGCTAACGAAGAACTCCAGACAAAAGATAATGCCAGACAATGGGAAAGGTGAAAACGGAAGAGGGAGCTACGGGATATAGTGAAATGGCCACAAGCTGAGAAATCAATGTCAGTCAATGGGGTTGAGGGGCAAACAAAAGCCACATGTGCAACCTAATCAAAATTTCAATCAAAATGCGCAAAATGCTGCATTGAAAGGCTCAGACAAATGGCAACAAATGCCGCTCAAACACACACTAAAAGGTTGGCATGAGTAATCCAAACCAATACAATCCAATTCACTCAAGTTAAATTGTAATTGCGATTAGGAAGCCAATTACCGATATAAATTGTTAGGTCAATTGTTTTGGATTTCCATTTCGAGACAAGAAGATTAACAAATCAATTGTTAGGCAATAATTGAAATAATTTGGCGACATTTCGATTAGGGTGATAAATAATGGAATATTGAGCGAGGCTTGCGTTTCGATCATCATCATTGGACCGGATTGTATTACAATCCCAACTCTAGTTTATTTGTAAATAACAACTTGCTTTTATTTTCCTTCGTTCTTAAGTTGGTGACTTTATAATTTATTTATCAAATTTTTAGCTGAAAAGTTTATTCTTGGAAAGTTAGAAATGGCACTTGTTTCTTTTACTCTCTCTCTTGCTGAAAATATGATGTTAAGAAATTACTTACCCTTTAATTATAGAAATGAGGTTACAAAAGCTGAAAAAAAGAAAGGAAATCGAGTTAGAACAAAATCTTTCAACTGTCTTAAACATGTCTCAATATCATAAATATTTCAAATAACATATGTTTTAATATGTAAGTAAGCTCTAATTTGTCCAATCTTTATAATCATCCTCAAAGTTCAGTTACCGTTAAACATTTTTCAAAATTATTTTTAAGTTGGCAATGCTTGAACTCAAGCCTCTCTTAAAACAAACTTAAGAGCTTGCTCAGAAGAACGCACATACACATATGGGCACTCAGCTGACAATGTCAGTGACGTTTGCAAAAAGTTCCCACGGTCATTAGGGTCAAGATGTCTCTAACTTGCTTGGTCTCGTGTTCACAATTTGTTTTTAATTTAAAACTGCATGTGCAGGAATGTACTCTTGTGTGTACTTTGTAAGTTTGTATAAGGCCATCAGATTTACGAGTCGTTACATTTGGCCAAGTAAATGTTAGTATGTGTGTCTTAGCTCTGGGCTTATGAGAATTTCTTGAGTTGGTTCTTGAGACGTCGGCGAGCTGAGCCGCAAAGCTTGAGTGGCTCGAGGGCTTAAAAGCTTTGTCGGGCAGGTGAAAGAGCTTTTTAAGTATAAGCTTGGCTTGTGGTTGAATGAACTCTAGCTTAAAGTGGCCTAAAGTTAAGGTACTAAGAAAATCAAGAACAAGATTAAAGGGAAAATTATGATTAATTTACATAAAATTGTCCAGCTACAAAAATTGAAATAATTTTTTTACAGCAATTTAGTTTATGAAACAAAGAAATCATAACCACGGCTTAAAAATACTTCTACGCAGCAAAACCCAAAACAAAATTGTTTAAGCCCCATAGTTTGGAATAAAATCTTAAAACAAAATATTTGATTAACAAAATTTACACTGTGTTTCCGATAAAGATGATGACGGCTGTATCTGTGGCCCACATGCTTAAGTTTTTTTTTAGATCTCTAACATGCTTTTAAATATATCAAAAGATTAGTTTAAATTTTTGAGTTATTGCATCACATTTTAATGCAGAAGGTTCAAGAAAGAGAGAGCAAATAAATCCAAACACGATATGGATTTGCCTTCGTCTTCGTCGACGGGCAAAAATAAATCTAATACTTTGGAAGAATTATCGTTATAATTTTGATAAGGTTTCAGTATTTCAAGTTATATCGCCGTTACTTCCTATCAAAATAAAAATATAACTAAATTTTAAAAACACTTCAGTGTGTAAAAACCACTTTTCCAGCTAAAAACAAGGAAGAACGCTATAGTCGAGTACCTCGACTATCAGATACCCGTTACTCAGCTAAAGGGACCAAAGGGAAATGGAGATATGCAAATCGAGATTTAAATACGCCACCTACCGGCGGTAGACAGATTTAAGCGTTATGGGCGTTAGAGTGGCAAAATTTTTTTTGGATCAATCGATAGGTATTGACGAGACCAATACATTTCAGTTAAAATTTTTTATCTAGCATGAAAACTGTGGCCGTCACAGGTTTGGGCGGTTTGTGGGCGTTAGAGTAGGCGTGGCAATTTTTTTTTCGGGTCACTCGATAGGTATTGATGAGAAGAATACACTTATGCAAAAATTTTTATTCTAGCATCAAAACTGTAGGAGCCACAGTTTTGGCCGGTTTGTGGGCGTTAGAGTGGGCGTGGCAGTCTACTGAAACAAACTTGCGCTGCGTAAGAAGCTCAGGAATCTGCACGCCAAATCTCAATAGCCTAGCTCTCATAGTTTCCGAGATCTCAGCGTTCATCCGGACAGACGGACAGACGGACATGGCTAGATCGACTCGGCTAGTGATCCTGATCAAGAATATATATACTTTATGGGGTCGGAAACGCTTCCTTCTGCCTGTTACATACTTTCCGACGAATCTAGTATACCCTTTTACTCTACGAGTAACGGGTATAAAAACTCTGACGGAAATCATTACTAAAATATATTATTTTAGGCCAATGCATTAATGGCTAGTTTATCTTATTAATAGGATTCCCTTTCAATGTTAGCTTTAGCAGATTTGTAACCAATGTTTTTTTAATCCGATAAAAAGTGGTTTGCTTTGGCCGATTGCATCTCCATTCTTTACTAATTTCGTCTCCCACAGTGTTTCAATTGTAGGGGTCCTTTGCGTTAAGGGTTGACAACTTTCCCGAGTTCTAAAAAATGAAACGCACACATTTCACGCCCAACCAATTAGCCTGGGGTCGCTCACGCCTTCCCAACCCTCCGGCCACCCCCTTTGCAAGCATATTTTTTCAGCCTCCTAACTCACTCACTTTCCTTGCGATGCGAACAGAATTTTCAAGTGTCCCTGGTATAAGGTTGCAGATGCAATTAAAAAGCATTTAACGGATTAGAGGCAATAAAAAGAAGATTGCCGTAGAATATAAAATAAATACCAGCATTAGAGGACACCGAAACCTTGAAGGGGTGAGGTGAGTATCGTGTGAACCGAACACGATTTTATTGGAATTTAATTTAATAACGCTTGTGCAACTAGGGCACAGTCAGTTGGGAATGCCAGTGAAAATATTTCAGGCTAAACTGCGGCTGAAATAAATTGCGAGCAATTTTCCCGGATACTTCCATGGCCAGTAATTAATTTACCTCAATAAATTGTTTAACCATCTTCTCGAAGGTCTCAGTTAGCAATATCAAGTGATTAAGACCTTAAAGATTTCAGTTTCAAGTCCAGTGAATATTTCGGAGCTTAGCCTAATGCCTTTGAAAACTGGCTAACTTTCGCCCATTACGTTGGGAGTGAAATTTCATCTGAGGGTTCCGCCAAGTCTCTATTGGCCATAACTATAAATATCTCAATTGTGGCCCGGCTCTCGCGTAACCATTACGCATCCAATTTGTTGGCGCATCATCAACTTCATGGCTTTGCCTCCAGGTTTTTCCCACTTCCCCTCCAAAACACAAATGGCACCTAAAGTGTGTGTAATGCAATTCCATTTTACAACGTTTCTTCATCAGATACTTTTCTCGTTTTTTTTCTTTATTTTCTACAATAGCCGGAGTCATGCGCCGGCAATTTGGAACGTTTCCAGTGGACTCCGGGCTCCCATGTCTGGTGTCCATTTGTCCTCCTTTCCACTGCCATTCGAGGGGCCCAGAGCTCGCTGGATCCAGATGCAGATCCAGATGCAGACACAGAACGCTGACAACGACCGCGGACACCAATTGGAACGTGCCCGTTTAGTTTTTCCTCAGCACGGTTTCAGATGCTAAAATTGCATTAATGCAATTCGTTTTTCTGTCTAGCACTCCCCTTCATGACGTCCATTTCCCTTTTGGGGGAAGGGAAAAAAGTGCAAAGTGAATGTCAAATTGTGTGCATTTTCAGACAGGAGACTTGAGATCTAGGGAACTTTCCGCACTTATGCTTTAAGGGGAATTATATAAAATGTCAAATTGTTTTGAAAGCCTTATGACACTTAATAGTTGTTAAAGTAATTAAAGGCAACATAAAGACGAAATTCCATCAATAAGTGGCCATGACATTTTCAAATAAATCAAGTCAAGTTAGTCGCTAGTGTCATATGGTCATACAAATAAATTTGTGAATACGCATAGCAACAATTTGATATTAATATTTAAGCCTCCAATCTATGTAGTTTTCTATGCAATTCGTGCAT